ACAGCAACGTATCTGTTTTAGGAGCAGTGGTTACGAATCGGGTTGCGAAACACAAGGTCAGCAATTCGAAACTACCAGCTATTCCACGGGAGAAAGATGAGGCTTTCTGCTCCCGTAAAGTTTTACAGCCTCGGAAACCCTGTACAGGGTTGCTATGAGTCAGAACTGATTCCATGGCACAAAACAACAAAAACATATCTGTTTTAAAGAGCTCTGGTAGCGTAGTGGTTACGAATTGGGATGCTGACCTCAAGGTCAGCAGTTCAAAACTACCAGCTGTTCTGTGGGAGAAAGAAGAAGCTTTCTGCTCCCATTAAGATTTATAGCCTCGGAAACCCTGTACAGGGTCACTGAGTCAGAACTGACTCCATGGGACACCACCACCACTATATCTGTTTTATGCATAACACTGATTTACTTAATTTTAGTTTTACAAAACTTTCCAGAAGAAAATCATCATCATCAGTAAGAAGTATGGCTAATATTTTCAAAATCCATCCTTAGTTTCAATTAGATGGGCAATGTCAAATCTTTGCATCCAAAATTTTCATGGCATTTTCAAAGTTTGAGGAATACATAACATTTTGCAAACCATGCATTTGGGCCCTATAAAAAGCAGTGTATAAAGCAGGACTAATCTGGTATCAATACATTTCTAGTTTGGCACATGTCACTATAATGTTTTAAAAATTTGGTACTAAAGATGTAATATAAATTAATATTCTGTTATGCTCTGGTAGCGTAGTGGTTACGAATCGGGCTGCGAACCACAAGGTCAGCAGTTCGAAACTACCAGCTGCTCCACGGGAGAAAGATGAGGCTTTCTGCTCCCGTAAAGATTTACAGCCTCGGAAACCCTGTACAGGGTCGCTATGAGTCAGAACCGACTCCACGGCACATAACAACAACAACAATGCAGAATTATTTTTTTCTTAAAAAAATGTTTAAAATTTATTTCAACTGCCAAGAAGAGAATTATCTGGTACATTAAGATTTATTTATCAAATTTAAAACTGAATTTATTTTTGAAGAAAGAAAATAAATTGAAGGTACCGGGACTAAATTGTTTTTTCTTGTGTGTATTTTGTACATTGCTTTTGTCTTTATGTTTCATATATTACCCCAGGTATCTTCAGCTGCATTGACATGCTTTGTGAGAGCAATGGTTTTCAGATTACTTTTAAAGAATGTGTTTATCATCTCAAAATGCAGGTTATTTGGTCTAAGATAAATCTTCTTTCAGCATTACAATATGAACACAATTTAGCAACAACCAAACTGTCATCACTATGTCAGCAAAAAGTATGTAAATTTCTAGAACCTTGTGGATAACTAATGGATTACACTATCAAAGAGAAAAAGTCAAGATATTTATTTCCTCTAAAGATACAACAAAATATCTGTATTGATGCCAACTCCATACAATAAAAAGTCTTTATTTGTACTGAAAATTTTCATTTACTCAATTGGCTTTAGAAATATGCAGAACTGAAAAATTAGAATAAACCTGATTAGAAACACATAAAGAATAATAGCAGACCATGTTTTCCAAAACTACTTTAAAGCTGATGCTTGATGTTTTTCCTACATTTCAAACTGATACTTGAAGCATTTTCTGCATTTCTCATTCTGCATAAAATAGTTCCACCAGAACAGAATAAACAAAACTGAATTGAGAATGCTCTGAAGAAAAGTATTTCTTCTGGTTATCTATTATTCCTTAACAAACTATCTCTAAATTGGTGGCAGAAACACATTATTTTGCTCATTATATTTTTTGGTCAGTAACTTCTGAAGTGTTTTGCTTGGTGGTTTGTAATGAACCTACATGGCATAAACTATGGCAGCTCAAGCTATAGGATTCACATTCAAGGTAGATTCTTCTCTCACATTTTTAATGACTTGGCTTCTCTCTCTCTTTTTCTACAAGGCATCTTACTTTCCAAGGCATCTCAATGGATTTTGAGCTTTTCACAGCATGGTGGTTTCTGGGTAATTAGATTGTACATTGTAATTGGCTTTACCCTACAGTCCAAAAGACCAATAGAAGTTACAAGGTATCTTTTAACATAGCCTTAGAAATCCCATAACTTTACTTATGCCATATTCTATTGTTCAAGCATTTCCTAAGGCTAACCAAGATTTAAGAGGAGGGAATGGGAAACTACCATTACATGGTAGGAATGGCTTAAAAAACAAAAGTCTGTGGCCAACTTTAATCTACCACAACGTTGCCTCAAATTTGAAGCGTTAGGATTTGGGAAACCCAACCTTGATAAACTGCTTAGCCATTAGGACTGGAGTGCTGCCATTTTTTAAACTCAAGTTTCAGGATGTCTACAGCTGAATGTGCCTATTAAAATTTAGAAACAGAAGGAAAATCATTTCCAGACATTTTCATTATCTTACTGAATTCTGGAAGTCTTAGAGCCATGGGCAAGGGTATCCAATAGTTCTGGCTATCCTTCTCTATCTCTTTTTGTACCTGAGATTTTCAAAATAATCATTATAACTGCAGATCTCCTATTGAAACCAAGGGACTATAACATATATAATGTTCCTAATGCCATTTTAATATTGGTGGTGGTAGTTATGTGCCATGGAGTCAGTTCCAACTCATGTTGACTTTGTATAGGGTTTCTGAGGCTGTAAATATTTATGGGGCAGAAAGCCTCATTTTTCTTCTAAAGGGAGGCTGGTAGAGTCAATCGCCGATCATGTAGTTAGCAGTCAAACTCATAATCAAGTAAGCTATCAGATCTCTTACTTTACTCAAAGTTACATAATAATTTCCAGTTATGAATAAACAACACTGTGGAGGGGGAAAAAAAACGAAATGCCAAAGATCTGGTTTGACTGATTCTGTTTTCATTTCTCTGTATTATATGGATTTTCCACATCTATAAGAAACACCCTTTTTGAGATGAAAAATGGGCAGGTCTCCATCTTTCTGTCAATAAAGTTGTTTCAAACTGTGCTACAGACTGAAAAATGAAAAAGTTCAGCCCTGAATCTAATATTCTAATGAAAGTTAGAAGAAAATGATTTAGGTAATTGGTTAGGGTGAGGGTGACGTGGGTGATTTGCCACATAGGACAGGACTTCAAAAAATTCATGGAAAAATTCCCTTAACTTTTCACTCCATTTTTCAATGAACTTTTTAAAGCACCATTGTATACTCATGTTGGAATTTGTATGTATACAGAATACACATTTTAGAGAAGTCCTGAAGAGTACACATAAGTGTTGTGGCCAGTAAACTTGAACAAATTATAATTGCTTGCTTTAGAGTAGTACTTCTCATAACTTTCTGTTGAAGTTTGCCTAATGGCAGAGGAGAATGAAGGGGTATTTCCCTCCCAAAGGCCACAGATACACAAGTTACTCTTCTATCATTTGAAAGATTTGAGTGACTTTTGTTTTCTATTTTGTAATATAATTGCTTCCACATAAAAACTGCTGCACTCTAATTTCTATGCAAACTAATGATACAAGATCATCTTATGGCTTCATGTAACCCCTGGTGAATGACAGAGTAAACCTGAGGCATTTTTATCCAAGTTTGAGATGGACAGAGTTAGTTACAATTATTGAAGGTGATCAGCACAACTGGATTTGGCTTTAACAAAATGTAATGACTCTACAAAATAATATAGGGGATAGGGTGGGACAGCAATAGAATAATATTTCAAGCACTATTTACAAAACAGATAGTTCTATTGTGTAGCTCTAGGATAAGCACTATACTGCTAAACACAAGGTCATCAGTTCAAACCCAGCAGACACTCCTTGGAAAACCTATACAGGGTTGCTATGAGTCAGAACCAACTCAATGACACTTAGCAACTACATCTACAAAATAGTCACTACTTTCTCAGACCGCTCTTGACAACATATTTTTTATTTTCTCTTCCCACAGTTTCATTGTTGTTGCTATTTTAAAATACTTAACTAACTTTGGTACTTACACTGCTGTGCTTTATTTAAAAATTAGGATGTGCTACATTTCATTTTGTTAAAATGAAAAAGCTATTATTTACGTAGTTTGTTCCTTCCATTTTTTCAATGTAGAAAAAGTCTCAAACTTATTTCTTAAATCTAAATTGGACTGGAAAGATCAAAAGTTGAATAAAAAATTTCCAAAATGATTGAAATATTGGGCACAATCATCTTTCTTGGCTGTATAATAGGAAGGCACAACTACAGTCACAAGTTTCAATAAATTACACATCCAAAATAACCCTAATCCATTTCTAGTATATTTACACAGTTTTCTTGTGGTTCTCTTAGAATGCTAGGATGAAATCCAAGACAGATGAAAGTTCACAGTTGCTAAAAGAAATGGTTTACATTAAAGTCTACAGTTTGAAAGAAGTTGTAGTAGGCCTCTGTGTTTCAAGCTTACAGTCCTTGAAATATAAAGATTTGTATTTCAGAAAAGAGGCTCGACATCTTGTGTCCTTATTTGAGTCTGTAAAAAGACAGTGGCGCCCATAAATCAACATGTTACATTTCCCAACACTATATGATTAATAAATATTCAGGATCCCAACCTAGAAACAAGTTTTAAATAGCCCTGGACTGTGTTATTGGAAATAATATTATTAAATCATTTTAGAGGCTGTACTGAAGGACTGCCTTTTTTTTTAAGAAGCACAAGGTCTCTCCAAAATATTATTTTTGCTGACATGCACAAAAAGTTTTCTATACCAATCATCAATGCAAGATACCTGAGAATCTATTAATCACAGAGTTAAAAAGCTCTGTCATACTGCATACTTAATACCCAGTGTAACCAATTAGTATTACCATTCCTTGATACAATACAAACTCATTTCCTTAAACTGCGATTACATTGAACTCCAGGGTTATAAATGAGCAGACACAAATTGATTTGCATGTAATAGCAGTAGCAATAAACCTTTCCCAGTTCATACAATTTTCCTCATTTATTAACAGAGAGAAAGTTTAGGAATGATTATTCCCAGAAGGGGACTTACCCAGCTGGACATCTATAACACTTGGCTGATTCTCCATGGGGAACAATGGCTTGGGAGGCTTGTCTGTGAGTAAAGCTAGAAGAGAAAATGAGAGAAGGTAATAGAAAAATTGAGATAAACTACAGGATAAGAAAGATTCTATCGTGTATGATACTTAATGTTTGTAGATCTGATGGTGTGTAAACATTTATTAGACAGTGTTTCTATTTGGTTGTTACCCTATACATACAATATCAATTTCCCAGTACATTTAGAGCACCATTGATTCACTGTAAATAGGCCATTTCGACAGCTACATTTTCCAACAAGATCAAATAAATGGACTACTTTTGAGAGGTTTTTAGAAGCTTGTGAGTATAAAGAAATATAGATTTTTAAAGTATAATCAGATAAACATAAATTCGCATACCTAGTTCTTAGTAGCTTTAAATATTCTCAATGAAACATAATGCTAATAGACAATTCTAGTGGAACAAACCTTTCTAAATCTCTGAACAATTCCTCAACTTCTCACCCAAACTCTAAAACAGCATATTGATAAAAAAATACTGATTGAGCATATTTTGTGTACAAAATATGTAAGGGAATAAAAAATATGTAAGGGAATAAAAATAATGTCACTCAATTAATTTACAATATAGGATTACAAACACAGGGCTAACATATTAAAGTATACAGAATACAAAACAGAATACAATCTAGTTAAGAGTGGTAATATCTGAGCTATAAAGCTATATGTATGCGGCCAATATTGGCTCAGAGGGTTGTGGACTGTTTTGTGAGAGATGTGGGTCTTTGCCATCTTTTGAGGGATGGACAGGATTTGAAAATGAAGAAAGTAAGGAAGGAGAAATTCAGGATTAATAATACATACTAAGGCATATAGGTAGAATTTGACAAACATAATTTGGTTAGAAGAGAATAGTCTGGTAAAGTGAGGTTGCATGGATTGTGGTGGAGGGCAAGTTGCTTCATGATATGCAGCCATTAGAAAGTAAACTGAATACAAAGGATGGAGCTCAATTCTGGATGGTCTTGGGAAACATAAGCAGGAGATTAGACATGCTGTGATAGACTGCAGAGTGACTGTCAATTATTGGAACAAAAAAGTGACTCAAGGGAAGTGCTGCATAAAGATGATTGGCTTACTATATAACATGGGCTAGATTAGAACAAAACTAGCTAAATGGATGAGATAACAACGTTGCATTAGTGGGATGAGGAGTCAGGTCAGGGTGGAGTCTGGAGAACTAAAGAGAATGGAAAAACATCTGAGAAGTACTTGTAAGAAAGAAAAGATAGGACTCAACACACAGGCACATATTGCCTTATGACAACCCTCATGTTGTTGCTGTTAAATGCCATTGAGTCGGTTCCAACCCATAGCAACCTGGTATAGGGTTTTCGAGGAGCCACTGGTGAGCTTGAAGTGCTGACCTTGCAGTTCAAACAGCTTTACAGTCTGGCACATTAACCCACAGCGTCATACGAGGACAACCCTCATAGTAAATTAATATTTATCTCCTGAATTCCTGTTTAATTCTTGCTGTGTTTGTATTTTGCTTCAACTATCCAACTAGACTCTTACCAATCAAATGAAAATGTTTTATACTTATTTGCAAGCCACAGGAGGCAGAGCACATTGCTGGGTATATAAGAGATATTCATTAAATCATTGTTAATTGACTAGTTAAAGAATTCCTGCTGGCATGAGAGAGTCTGATCTCATAACTGGAAGGATATATAAAAGACAAAGAGTGAAAAAGTAGTTGATCACAGGACAGGTTAGAATATATAAATTTGAAGAGATTCTCAAAGTAGGAAACAAATAATCAGAAATTTACTAAGGAAAGTGTTTCATATAGCATTAGCCTCATCTTTCTAATATTCAAATGATTGCCTGAAATGAGAATTTTAGTGAATTAACTGCTTTCAGTGTTCCAAATAATCATTATTGATGACCTACATAATGGTGTGCTGCCATGGGTGGGATAAACACTGCACTGTAAGGTCAAACACACCAGCAGCTCCTTGGAAACCCTATATAGGGTCACTATGAGTCTTCTTAATAAGCTTCTAGGATTATCCTGTGTCCTTGAGAAAATCTATGAGTATTACCTCTTTGGATTCTCCAAAAACAGTCACCATAACATTATGATCTAACCTTTCTGCCTTGAATTTAGTTGGCCTAGTGGATGTCCTTGGAAACCACAATTTTGATTGGACTATTGTACTTTTTTCTCTCTCTCTCTGTTTTTTTAAGACAAACTTATTATTGGGAAAACTTATTTGTAGTCATCCACTAATTACAGTTATTGTTGTTGTTTAATGCCCTCGAGTTGGTTTCAAGTCATAGTGACCCTATACAATGTTTCCAAGTAGCAGTTAGTGGGTTCAAACTGCCAACCTTGTTGTTTCTAGTCCAACTGTTTATAAGGGGATATGGTGGGATGCTAAACCCTTACACAGCCCCTGTTCAATATAAGGAGGGTTTCTCTGGGGTGTTATCTGCATTGCCTTGCATCTTACTAGATATAAAAGGAGACAAACATATTCCCCCAGCACCCATAGAGAAAGTAAACTTTTCCCTAGAGCTAGCACCCTAAAATCAGAATTCTATAATAAATTATAAGAGGGAAGTCCTGGTGTGGTGTTGTGGTTTAGTGCACTGAACTGCAAAGTCGGTTTGATCCATGAGATTGGCGGTTCAAGCTCACCAATAGATCCTTGGAAACCCTATACGGGGTTGCTGTGAATTGGAACCGACTCGAAGGCACTTAATAACAACAGCAACAAATTACAAGAGAATAAAGTTTCATTTGTTAAAGCCATCCACTTGTGATATTCCTGTTATATTCACACTAGATAACTAAGACAACTATCTATTCAAATCATGAGTAAAGTTAAAATTGAAATGAAATAAAATCCAGCTATCCTACACTGAATTGATTAAAATGTATGCTTTGGATAAGAATTATATATAATTGACAGATGCAAAGAGACCAAAGACTATTACTTGGGAGAGGGATATGGGGAGGTATTGCTGAAGGGTACTGAGCTTCTGGTACTGAAGGGTAGTGACCTACATACAGTTTCTGAGGAGTGGCTGGTGAATGTGAACGCTGACCTTGTGGTCAAACTGACCTTATTGTCTAGTTCTTATCCTGCAATGCCACACCAGGACTCTGAGCTTCTGTTAAGGTTAATGGAAATATTTAGAAATGGATAGTGATTATATTTGTACAGCATGGTGAACATAATGTCACTGAACTGCACACATGAAAATACAATGAAAAATGTTTTGTTACATCTATTTAATCACAATTAATTAAAAAGTCATTTTGGAGGAGAGCAAACAAGATGGCGGATCGGGTGGAAGTGCAGTGAAGAGCTCTGCCAGCAACAACACAGAATACCAGACCAAGCAGACTCAGAGGATCGTCACAGAACTCTAAACCACATATAAAAGAATGTTTATAAGGTTGGAAGGCTTACAGCTGGGGGAATTTGTGCCAGAAGCAAGAAAATCATTGCTTTCTAGTCCGAGATGCTCAGCTGCTCCAGGAGCCACCATCTTGGGTGAGACCAAGCAGGGGAAGGATCAGAGCGGCCATAGACGTCTGGCAGAACCACAGAGATAAAGGTGTGGACATTTTTTTTGGTAGCTGTTCATTGGTCCCTTGCTGTCTGTGCAACTCCATTCTGGTGACTATAGAGGTGCCTGAGCTAGTGGGCACCCCAGCCCTACCCTCAGAGTGTTCTACTATGCATGCACACAGATCTCCTTGAAATTTAAAGAGACTGTTTCTAATTAAAACCAAATGGCCACAGCCAGCCCTGAACTGTTTATAATTTTAAAGAAGTGCCTGAACGGGGACTGTGGAGTGGGACAAGCAGACAAAAAAAGGAAATAGGCCAAAAATTAAATCTTAAGTTACATCAAAAAGACCAACAGTGGCATCTAGAAACTTCTCAAGAAGAAGAATGAAAAGGGAAGCCCATTTCCTGATCACATCTACCTGGAGGCAATCAGAAAGCATAAAAATTACAAAATACATACCCATCTAAGTATTAAGGC